CCTTCCAGAGGTACACCAACAAGGCCAGAAGACAGGAAGTCATCAGATGCTCAGCACATGCCACACAGAGCTGACAGGACTTTGTGTATCAACCATCTGGGTCCCCAGGAATCTGTGATGCCCAAAATGAGAAGGGTGCTCCATGGCAGAGCCAGGGCAGCAGGAGCTGCCAGCCCTGGTGTCAACCAGCACCAGCCATGGAGTGCTCAGAAGGGGGGACATCAAAAGGCTTTCTGCTGAAGATGGAAAATAGAGAAGCCCCATTTTGAAGCCTTTTGAGGTTTCCCCATTGTCTGCTGACTAACAAAACCCCGGGGGAAGGCAGCACAGAGTGCTTGTGGATGGCAGCTGCCCCCAGGATCAGCTCCTGGAGCCCGTGACCAGCACAGCTCAGAGCATCCTGAAGCCCAAACTCACCCTCACTGCAGAAATACAGAATAAGCAGCAGATTTATCTCCTGGGAGCCAGTTCAGTAAGTGGGGCACAGGAAAAGGTTTCCATGGGGGGGACACTGAAAGATGGCATCACAGCTGAGTTTACGGAGGTCTTACCCAGCCATGGATCCCAAAAAAGGGAAAGAAATCAGCACTAGTGCAGTTAACAACAGAGCTAAAGGAAAATAAAATACGTTAAAGGAAATAAAATGCGAGCAGCTGTAAAAAATAACCCCTGAAGTGTGCTGGAGGACTCCTGCAGCGGAGCCTCAGGGAATCTGCTGAGCTCCTGTCCCTGCACTGGGTGGAGTTTGTGCCCATCTCCAGGCACTCTCTCTGCCTCAACTGCTAAAGCTTAATCTTTTCCTCATTAAACTGCATTCCAAGCTGTACTTTGTACTTAGCACTTTATCTCCAAGACTCCCTCAGCTCAAAGTATCCAGTAAAGCCTCCACAGAAGATTCTCCTGCAGCTCAGCACAGCCTGAGCAGTGAATGGATGTGGTCACAGCACACGTGGGGACCAGCCCCCCAAGGGAAGAGGAGAAGGGAGTTCTCAGGCAGGTCAGTGCTTCCAAACACATGGTGCACTCTCCCGAGCAGCAGTAACAGCCCAAGGAGGTGGAGAGATGAGCCTGGCAGGGACCTGCACTCTCCCAGGACCTCGGGAGGCAGGCAGGTGAGACCAGTGCCTCCCTGTGACCCTCCACAGAGCCTGGCTGGCACCCCTCAGTCTCTCCAGTGCTCCCAGTTGGCCTGGCTGTGCTGGGCTGGGCTGGTGGCACCGCTGTCTCCATCCCTGCTCAGTAGGCCTGGCTGGCTCCCAGCACATCTGTGCCTTTGTTTGTTTTCCCACTAGCCAGCACCACAGCAACCGAGCCTTGGCAAGCAATAGCCAACCAAACCTTGAAGGAAAAACACAACCCGGGGCAAACGGACTTTCAATATTAACTAAATTAACAGCAGAGATGTATTTTTAGCTGGGATTGTTGTGAGAAGGAGTGATGAGTTTTAACTCAGAGGGAGATGCAGACCAGAGAGAAGTAAGAAATTTTTGATCCTGAGGGTGGTGAGCCCCTGGCCCAGGTTGTCCAGAGAGGTGGTCGCTGCCCCATCCCTGAAACCATTCCAGGGGAGGTTGGCTGGGGCTCTGGGCAACCTGCTCTGGTTGCAGATGTCCCTAACTGGCTCTGTTTGCAGATGTCCCTGCTCCCTGCAGAGGGGTTGGACTGGATGCCCTTGAAAGGTCCCTTCCCACCCAAACCAGTCTGGGATTCTCTGGTCAGAAACATGCATGGATTTGAAGAAATCCTGATTAGAAGAACAGAAGCAGCACTCAGCTTCACGGTTGCACCAGGTCACAGCACCAGAGAAGTTTATGCAGAGCAAGGAGATGACAGCCTCAGGCTTTGACCACGGACCTCCTGTGCCCAGGGGCTGTTAGTTGGTAGCCACAAGGTGCACTCATGCGGTTAGCACAGCCACCAGCCCTGCCCATCCCACGCCCCTGAGCCCCCGTGCAGCTGAGCGATTTACCCATGACCAAGGTGGGGAAAAGGACCTCCTCACGCCTGGGGAGAAACAGCAACAGTTTACATACAGAAAAGACATTCCTGGGCAAAACGCTGGATGGGGTCCCTGCCTGCTGCCCCCCGGCAAGCTCAGAGCTGCTGCTGGACCAGGGATGGGGACGCCTCAGCTCCTCAGCTGGGAACAGGGCAGAGGAAGGGAACTCTATGGAGCTGTCAGGACGTGGCCGAGTTGCCTCCATCCCAGTCCCACCACCCAACAACCGGCCGCAGACGGATGTAGAATCGTGGAATCATTGAGGTTGGAAAAGACCTCTGAGATCATCAAGGCCAACCATCAACCCAACACTGCCACAAGCACAAAACCACATCCTGAGGTACCACATCCACATGTTTTTTGAACCCCACCAGAGATGGTAACGCCATCACCTCCTTGGGCAGCCTGGGCAGCAAATGCCTCACCACTCCTGCAGGAAAGAAATTCTGCCTAATATCCAACCTAAACCTCCCCTGGGACAACTTCAGCCCATTTCCTCTCATCCTGTTGCTGGTTACTTGGGAGAAGAGACCAACCTCCACCTCACTCCAACCTCCTGTCAGGGAGCTGTAGAGAGCAGTAAGGTCTGACCCTCTTCCTCTCCAGCTTAACCCCCCCCAGGTCCCTCAGCTGCTCCTCACAAGCCATGTTCCCCAGAACCCCTCACCAGCTTCGTTGCCCTTCTCTGGACCTGCTCCAGCCCCTCAATGTCTCTCTGATCCTGTGGTGCTCAAAACTGACCCCAGTGCTGAACCTGTGGCCTCCCCAGTGCTGAGTCCACGAGCATGATCACTTCCCTACTCCTGGAGACGCTAGTGCTGATCCAGGCCAGGATGCTGGTTTGGGCACACACTGGCTCATGTTCAGCCAGCTGTCGACCAACCCCCCCGCAGGTCCTTCTTTTCTGCTGCCCCCTCCCCAGCCACTCTTCCCCCAGCTTGGAGCATTGCCTGGGGTTGTTGTGACCCAAGGGCAGGACCCAGCCCTTGGCCTTGCTGAATGTCACAGTGTTGACCTCAGCCCATCAATCCAAGCTGTCCAGATCCCCAGATCTATGATCACAGGCTCCAGCAATAATCAGGAGCAGGGACGAGAGCTCAGGGGCTGGGGAGAGGGGAGGCCAGGGGAGGAGAACGGCCCTGCCTCGACTCAGCCCTTTGCCCTGAGGTGATTAGGTAGGATTATATTAGATATGAGGAAGAAATTCTTTACTCTCAAGGTGGAGAGACAATGGAACAGGTTACCCAGAGAGATTGTGGATGTCCCCTGCCTAGAAGTGTCCAAGGCCAGGTTGGATGTGGCTTTGAGCAACCTGCTCTAGTGGGAGTTGTCCCTGCCCATGGCAGGGTGTTGGAACAGGATGATTTTTAACGTCCCTTTCCTACCCAAACTGTTCTGTGGGTTTCTGATTCAGGTGAGAGCTCAGTTTAGCTTAATGTGCAGGCAGAACTGGACTGGTTTTACACAGCGTGGACACAGCCACCCGCAGCAGGGGCAGGGCTCAGCAGGAGCACAGGGTGGAGCAGGAGCTGATGCACAGAGAGAGGTGTGGGCCAGCAGAGGACAGGACAGCAGGGCCCTGCAGGGATCTCAAACAGCTTGCAATAAGCACATCAGCCATTTCCACCCCTTTTCTCGCCCACTGACATCCCCCTAACCCTGCTGTAGAAGTTCTCTTTCAGGAGGCTGAGTTTCTAAACCTCCTTCAGCAACAGGCTGCTCCTAACTCTAGGCAGATAATGAGCCTGATGACAATCTGGATAATTACAAGTGGCCCCCACCCCACAGAGCAATCAGCTTACTCCTCACAACTCAATTTAGCCACGCTGCCTCCTAGGAACAGCTCTAATCTCACCCTAGCAAGCACCCAGACAGCTCCCACCCAAAAGCAAGGGGACAGGGGACCCCAGGCAGCGACAGCACACACACAACCCCAAAAACCTGTCTGATGTGCACAGCCCATCTGAAGCCTCTGAACTCTTCCTTTCCAAAAGCAGCAGGCAACAGTGGCTCTGACAACTCTGCCTGGCAGCTGCCAGTGTGCAGCATGCCCTGCTCCCCATGTAGCAACGGGATCCAGCAGAAGCCAGGCTGGCTGGGGGAAGCTCAGCTCGCCTGCTCTGCACGTGGCACTCTTCAGCTTGGCAACAGCACGTGTCATTCTCTAAAATATACTCTGGGTTGAGGATGTGGTGAATATTAGCATTAGATTGCACCGGTCTGAGGTTTAGGATGGGAGATGGCTGCCACGCAGGGAGCCTTGTCTAGTGGCCCAGGCAGAGCTCGCAGTACCTGGACTGTCACCCAGCTCTGTGCTGTCACCCATCTCTTCAGGGCTCCTCACACAACCACAGGGCCCTGTGGGAAATCCTCCTTCTGAACCACTTCCCAGTATCCCAGAGGAAGCTCTGGCCACAGGGGAGTCCCAGATGACACCCAGCAAAGCCAGCGTGGGGGCAGCTGCACTCTCGAGCAGCCAGTGATGCCACCAATGACCTTTTCTGTTCCCACATCCAAGGGGGAAGTGGAGCAACCAGGGCACCATCCTCCAAGTGAGCATTTGCTGCCTGCACTCAGCTTTCTCACCAAGGAGCCTCCAGATTTGTGGTTCCTGTGCTTCCCCACCCACGAGCACGCCGGTAGCGATGGCAACTCCACCACGACTTGCTTGAGATCCTCTCCAAGGGCACGTTCTCTTCCCCAGCAGGTTGCTGCCTGGGGTCTCTGTATGACCTGAGATGTAGCCTCCACGAGATCAGGGAGCAGAAGGACAGACAGGCACTGACATCCTACCAGCTAAGAGGCAATCACACTTTGCTTTGCTCTTCACTTGACAGAAATCAGCACTGTCACCCTCCCTGTCCCCTCGAGACTTTGACTCCACAAACTATTTCTCCTATAGGATGAAAGCTGCAGGGGGCTACAGACAAGCCAAGAAAAGCTTCTGCTCCAAGTAGCATCCTGAAAGGCCCTCCCCTTTAGGGCAAAAATAAATCCTTCCTTACCCTTTGTCAAAGAAGGAGGTGTGGCCCGGCTGAGGGTACTTTGTGCCGTTGCCGCTCACCACGCTGCTGGGCATGTTCCCTGAAAGGTAGGATTTCCGTGAGGCCTGGTCCTTTGCAAAGTTTCTGCAAGCAGCGAGTTTGGATTCTAAGGCCTGTGAAAGGGGAAAAAAAAAAAAAAAAAAAAAACCAAACACAAATAACGTCAAAAAAGTCATATCATTAAGAGAGAGTATTTTGCTGCTTCTGCTCAGGCTTTGTCCTGGCCCCAAGATCACCGTGATCAGGACCTGGTGTGACCACCTCTGGCAAAACCTACACAGGGACAGAGCTGTAATTTCTGTCACCCAAGCACAGAGGAACCCCACGCAAGGAGCCGCCGACGCAGCCTGCCAGGCACAACGCAGCTCCATGAGGGTCAGCTTCTACTGGCTCTCAGTTAACTACCTAAGTTAAGGAAGCCAGCTCTTAGCAGAAGTTACCAAAACATCCTGCTTCAGCAGCTGCAGTAAGGCTGGCATAAGCCAAGCAGGAGACTAAGACAGAGCCTAAAGCAGATTCCTCAAGTTTCGGGAGGGATCATGTATTTGGAAAGTTGTTTTTTTTCTCCCAGGACAATGCTTTCCAGCATTTCTGTCTTCATCTTGACCTGCAAAACAAAGCCAGGTTCACCACCCCCACTGAGATGCTTCAGAACAAGAGGTGCCACAGGCAGAGCATCAGGAGGAGGAAGTGAAGGCAGCAGCTGAGCCCATCTCCACAGCCTGCACCTCATCTCTACACTTCCAAGCCAGCCTCTTTTGTCCCTATACAAGGTCTCTGCCGCATCCACTGACTCCTGCCAGGAGTGAGACCAAACTCCTGATTCTCCTTCACTTCAGAACATTACCTGCCCTTTCTGCTGTCTATCACAAACGTGAATATCCATCTGGCCTAGCAGAAAGCCCTTGTGACATATTTGTAACATCCACACAGTGCTCAGGGGCACTCAGACGCCTGCACATGTGTGCACTGGACACAAAAACTCACCTCCCCAAATGTGGGGCTTAGTCCTGTTCCATGTAGGAAGATATTCCATGAATAAGGCACTGACATGGCATCACAAGTGAAGGCTGCACAGGCATCTCCTGAAAATCCACGTGAGCTCACTTATGACTGTACAGGCAGCTACAGGTAGCAACCTATCTCTTGGTCTCAAAGCAGCTAAAGAGCCAGTGTGACCTGTGCCAAATGACTCCTGTCCCAGCTGCAAGCAAAGCTGAGGGAAACCCTGAAGAGAAAGGGATTCTAGTGCTTGGGATGAGGCACCCTGTGAGCAGCCAAACCCTGAGCATCCTGTAACTGTTACAAACCAAACGTGTGAGCTGGAATTCTGTCCCCGTGGCCAAGCGTGTGCCCAAGAGCAGGCTGGGAAGGAAGAGTGCTTATTTAGCATTTCATGTCCTTGCAGAGTAATCACAGGGGATTGTGGCTAAACTCCCTAAATCCCCTGCAGACTCTTACTCACAATGATCCCATTTTAAACATGTCACTCCCTAACTCGGAGTTGTCCTGCTGCATTTCAAACCAACCACGAGCTCTCTGGCTCCAAATGCGAGCAACGAGGTGATTTTTACTCTCAGAGCTTGCCAAAACAACTGTCTCTGCTGCAGCTATTTCCGTTCTCAGTGTCAACCACAAGAGAGAAGGGAAAGCCAGCCCCAGAGGCCATCCTCCCTTCCTCAAACACTCACCACTGAGGCATGCCAACAAGCTTCTCACAACTCAGAAGTCACCTCTTCATTCAGCTGGCAAGCCTGGCATCCTGAACAAGGCTGTAACAGATGTTTCAACCGCTTCTTCCCTGCTTAGGCCCTTCCCTTTAAAGGCCCACACGTTTCACTTCTCCATCAGCTACAGATGGGAACATTTGGCTTTCTCCCCATTTATGTTCTCAGTTTCTTATCAAGGGTTTCTCAATTTTTTCCCATGTTCAGCACCTGCTGCAGATCTCCCCAGGCACGTGAGGAGACACTGGCAGCAGATCTCAGCTCCTCTCCCACGACACACGGTGACTGCAGCAGGCACCCAGGGTCTGAGGCCCAGTTCTGCATCCTGACCCCATCAGAGGAAGATGCAGGTCCCACCTGAAGTCACAGCAGTGGCTGTTGGTGTCTAACACCACATAACAAAGCCCTTGAGAAACTTTTTACTCCAAATAGGAATTTCATCACCCAAAATTGGCATCAGAACCTTAGTAACATGCTTTTAAAATCAAGAGAATTTAAAAAACAAAACCACATTATCACACATTAAACAATGAACGTGGATGGCTCAGAAACTCCAGCATGTACTCAGCGTGGGCCAAGGCCCTGTGAAGCTCAGCGAGCGTGGAGCAGAGCTGGGGACACCCCAGCACAGAGCACTCACCCCCACTTTCCGTAACAGGTCTCCCACAATGTTGAGTGCAGATATTCTAGCTGAAGGAGTGAGAGGGCTGGTACCAAATCCATTTGGTATAGCTGCAAAGACAGACACATTTTATTATATGCTCCATTCCTCCCCAATTCATTTAGAAAAAAAATTAAATCAACTTCTACATAAAAAGGTAAATTTAAAATCCTGCTACAGACTATTCATACAACTGCCCCACAACAGCACACAGACTACAGCATCTCCAGCCATGGGAAAATGAAAAAGCTTAATTCCTGCCCACTGCCCTCTTTCCTGTCAGACTTGCTCGCAGAGTTCATAGCCTCCATCTGTGAGGCTACTGCCCACCATTCATCTAATCCAGCCACAGCCTCCCCTGGAATCCAGTCTTTCTAATTTGAAAAATAATGTCTTAATCCTCATGATTTTCCAGAGCCTTCCAGATGGGGGAGTGGGCTAACATCCTGCTGCCTCACTGACAAAACAGGACCCCTGCAAAGTACATGTGATAAGAGAGGCAGCCTAGACTGTTTTAATTACTGCCCACCCTTTACTCACCTCTGCCACTCCACAGTTAAGCAGAAATCAGTCACTGCCCTTCCCTGCCATGCCAAAGGTCACCAGTGCTCTACTGCAGGTATCTACAGGAGAGGCCAGAGCCCCCCACCCCAAAAGCCAGTATCTAAGCCTCACTGTCCTTATTTTCCATGCTATTTATTCATTGTACTCCTTAAATGCACCTGATGCTGCCCCACGATTCACACACACCTTCAGCAACACATGTGGGACCCACATGTACCTACACTTACCTCAAGGTCACCACAAGCACCTGGTCTGAAGGTGTTTGGTAACAAATATACTGCCAAAACAACCAGACACAGTGTGTACAAATTCTACCTTTTGGGGAAGGAAAACTATTTTCTGATCCTTTTCCAACAGGCGTAGCTGGCAAGGAGAGAGATGCCTGGACAGCTGAATCCATCTTCTCACAGTCTAGAGTTGGAGAACTGGGTGCTGACTTTCGGGTGACTTCTTGTTGCCTCTCCCGCACTGCAAGCTCTTGCCGTAAGTCTGAGGGGTGAAAGAGAAAAAACCCCACACTATTGGTAACTGATTTCTTTAATAAATACTCTATTCTTTCAGGGGGGAGGAGAAGGAGACACTTTGCAACACCCTGTAAGCCTGAGCTGCCTTCAGCTCCTCCTCACAGAGAGGCTGGAAAAAGGGAGGAACGGCCCATTCCTGTGTTTCCAGTTCCTCACATTATTCCTCAGTTAATAACCCACACAACTCAACACTAGCCCAAAACAGCGAAGGGGTTGCATCCAGTTTCTTGATGCCTGGAGAAGTGAAAGAGCAGCCTGGAGAGCCTGGGTAGTCCCAACATCAAGGAAACCTGTGTTTTGTCTCTCCTTCCCACTTCCACACACACTTACTACAAAGGGCATCAAGCACAGTTCAGCCATGGATCTCCAATCCTGGGGTCAGTTTTGGGTCCCTCAATCCAAGAAGGACCTTGAGGGGCTGGAGCATGGGCAGAAGCTGGAGAAGGGTCTAGAGCCCAGGTGTGGGTAGGAGCAGCTGAGGGACCTGGGGGTGCTGAGCCTGGAGCAAAGGAGGCTCAGGGGAGACCTTCTGGCTCTCCACAGCTCCTGACAGGAGGCAGGAGCCAGGTGGGGGTCGGGCTCTGCTCCCAATGAACAAGGGACAGGACAAGAGGAAACAGCCTCAAGTTGCCCCAGGGGAGGTTGAGGTTGGATATTAGGAAAAATATTTTGCTTGTCTAGGCCTGTCCCAGGCTGCCCAGGGCAGTGGTGGAGTCCCCATCCCTGGAGGGGTTTCCAAGCCGTGGAGGTGTGGTGTGAGGGACATGGGTCAGTGGGGACCTGGCAGTGATGGGTTAATGTTTGGACTTAAGGATCTTCAGGGTCTTTTCCAACCTAAACAATTCTATGATTCTATAAAATCCTTATATATGATATATAAAAGGGATATATAATAAGGGATATATTTATATATAAAAGGGACTGGATGCAAATAAACTACACAATACAATGAGTTTTTTTTTCTTTTTGGGTAGAGCAATTTAATCTTTTACAGACCTCTTACTCCTTGTTTCTGATATAACGTGCAAGAGCAAAATTGGTTGTACATTACGGCTTTTAAGTTATCCTAAATATTTAGAACTGATTTTAAGTAAAACATCACTGCTGAAATTAAAATCTATTTCAGCTCCTAGAAGAGGATTTGTGGCTGTTCAGTGAGAAATGTTGCATTTGAGTTTAACACCACATCAGTTCTTTTAGTGGCTAGTGTTCCCCCCTGCTTGCTGTCAGGGGAACAACATGTAGCCTTGCTACCCTAGCAAATGCTATATATTTCCAACTGACTCATCCAAGAAACAAGATGTCTTTTTGGCCAATTATCCCAGTGTTCTAGAAAAGTCTCCTAGGTTTAGCTGTTTTTTTCCAGTACTGTCACCCTAACCCCAAACATACATTTATCTCCTTTGAAAATACTTAATCTCTCTCCTCATACTTCTTATAAAAACCCTATGCTTCCAACAGAGGCCTATTTGCAGGGGACAAAGTTGGTTCAAAGAGGTTCACCAAGGAGGAAAACAACAAAAAATCCCAGCCCATGGCCAAGTCTCTCACTCAGCTCTAGGCCTTGACTGAGGAATTACTCCATAAAGCTTTGCTTGGGAAACAACATTAAAAACCACTGATGTCTGAACTACACTAATAGCAGGTACACGCTTATGAACGGACTGTTCCCACTGTTTGAGAAACCAGTTTCTAGTAACCATTAAAAAAATGCTTCCCCAGTGGCCTCAGTGTGAAATCCACTGGAGAATTTTTAACTCCTGTTCGTATCTCAGAAAGTTACCCTGAATGTCTCTGATCCCACAGGTCTAACCACAGTCTTTATTGGAATATCCCAAATAAACCAGGCAATTTCCAAAAGGTTTAGAAGAAATATAGGAGAGGGGATTTTTAAGAAAGTTATTTAGCCATTTATCATGTAATTCCCTGTCATTTCCTGTACTTTTCCTTCCTGCAGAAGACAAACCCACAGGGAGTGGGAACTTTTGAAACACACTTCCTCAGCATTATTACATCTGCAGAACACAGTATCTTTGTACTCACCTGTATTAAAACCCTTGAATGAATCTGATATTCATTTTGTCCTAGCTACACTGGACGTACAAAGAACACACTGTTAGTAGGTAATACCCAACTCTTACATTACACATTGAGTTCAAGTCTCATTATGGGAAGCCTTCTATAAACACGAGTTTTGGTTGCTACACATCTCTGTTAGGAGGCCAAAAAGGTCCCAAGACACAGCACTAATCACAACAGCCATACCTCTCGCTTCATCCTTTAATCTCTGTACAGAAACTAGCAATGACTCCTTGTCATCCAGTTCACTTTCTAAAAAGGCGTTTCTCTCAATAGCTTGGTTCAGCCTTTGTTCAAAGTCTTCCAATGAAACTATTGTTGCCCTAGAAACAAAATCCAGAATATTAGGTTCTTCAGCTCAGCCAATATAAAAGCGTATTCAAAACCGAAATAGAGGAAAAAATGTTAGCAGAGTCTACATTCAAGTGAGTCATTTGAAAGCTATGGAAGTGCTTCTCGGAAAGGACTAAAACCCCAAAGAAATGGGGAGAAGATGAAAAGAACAGGATAACGTCTGGCTCTCAGAGATGTACCAAAGAGCTGGGGAAGAGCCAACCCACCTCACCCAGCTCTGTTTTTCCCAAGCCATGCTCCAAAGCTGCCTGTTTAACCAGTGCATTAGCCCAGGTGGTGCTGTGCTCCCCAGAGCTCTGGGCAGGAGACAGCCCGGCGAGCGTGGAAAGCAGGGCACTGGGATGTTACCTAAGACCCAGTTCGTTCCATGATTTCAAGTGGGACAGCTCATGTGTGTCAAAAGTTAGTCATGAGGTTAAAAGCCTTGTGGAAACAGGGCCTCAGCTCTCGGATCTTCTTGCCAGATAGCCAGAGGCTCATTCCTGGTCCAACTCAATCAATGGCAAAATTCCCAATCAGCAAAACGGAAGCATGACCTGCCCCAAAACAGGGCGTTTCCAACAGCAGCCTGCTCATTTTCTGCACTTAGATAGGTTCCCTATGGTCATTAAGTTGTTATGCAAGGGAAGAGGAAACTCCTTCAGCCTGGTTTATTTAAAAAGGGCTATGTAAAGCATCAGGTTTTTACTTCAAAAGGGCTTTGAGCTACAAGGATCACAAATATTATAAGAGGCACCTAGCTGGTAGTATCAAAAGCAGCAGTGGCCTGGCTTGCTCTGTGCTGCTCATTTCTCACAGGAACACAAGAAGCCAGCAGCTTCCTGCCTCTCTTGCTGCAATGTAATGCTGCCAGCCGATGGAAGTAACTCCAAGGGTAAAACGCACTGGACCAAGAATTAAGTGTCGTGGGGTTTGTTTGGGGTTTTTTGAGCGTGTGTTATTTTCACTTTTACGAAGAATAAAATGATGAATCTGAGTAGCAAAGAAAAGATCTCATGAAAACTGTGAGGGGACAAGAACTTTGCAGCCTTCACCTCTTTGCACGTTCCAAGTCATCGTTGGCCTGCTCCAGCTCCCTCACGTACTTATGCAGCTGATCTTTAATGGCCCGTGTCTGGCTCAGGTCATCCTCTAACAACGACACTTGCTTGTAACTCTGCGCGTACTGGTGCTCCAGTTTCTCCTGAAAGAAAGCAGCAGTGAGATCAGTATCAGTCGTGTACACTAACCAAGTCATCAGCAGTAAAAACAGACAGACGTAAGGCACTGGCTGCAGCCTGCTGCTGTGGGATCACTGGTGGAACAGAGTGGAACTGGGGAGGTGAAGGAACACGCTCTGAACATCAGAACTGGCCCCACAAGCACTGTGGGCAGACACCTCGCTGGCTGCTCGGAGGCACAACCCTGCATCTGTTCCCCACAGCCTGTGCTGACAGCTGCTCAGAAGCCTCCAACACCTGGGAAGCCAGGGAGAGATCCAACTGTACAGCCTCCCCTCAGTGCCTCTCCCTTGGCAACAGCCATGCTGCTGCAGAACTTGCCCGACGCCTGCATTAGCAAAAATGAGAGACGCTGAAATCTGTTACAAAACCTCCAGGTCCACAAGCTGGTCTTTGAAAATCTGGGAGAATTCATTCCCAAACACACTTTTCCCATCTCTGAGGGTACAAACAGCAGCTTATGGAAGAACTCCTGGCCTTTAAAACATGTGACAACCTTGCAGATACAGCTGGGACTGGACACATGAACAAATCATCACATAAACTATTTCCACCAGGTAAGTTTTCAACCTTTGCCTTCACTAAAATAACCCAAGACTACCAAAAATGCTGTTTTTCTGAGATTCTAAAAGAGGCAAGAACTTGTTAACATAGCAGCATCAGTTGAAAGTCACCTCCTGCACATGCAGATCCTCATCCATTCCCTGTCTCCACAGATACAGCTGTTAAGAAAGAATTCAGAGATTCTCCCTGACAGATGTGCACGAATCACCCATCATCAGCTTCCCTTAAAGCCTCCTAAAGCCAAGGAGACCTTCTGGGCAAAAAAAAAAGGAGTATGCAAAGGAAGGTGACAACTCAGTGGTCTGAAAAAACATACTTGTGTTGTCCACCCTGTTGCTATGCTGATGTTGCCCATGTAACTAATAAAGCTACTACTTGGCAAAGCCCAGAGAATTCAAACAAACCAGCACAGGCTCCATGACAAGAGTTCCATGATGTGAAGATTCCACCAGGAATTTCCCTGCTAAGTTGCTGGCCTTATTTGGTGTACATGCCATACTGAAGTCTGGATCCTAAGCAGACTCTCAAACCCTCCTTCAGTTCATCTAGATATTCAGTGACCACAAACAGGCCAATCTAAAATGAGATCCAAGAGAGATCTGTAAGAAGCAGCAATGCTATTACAGAAAAGACAGAAATGACCCACCTTTAATGTTTCCACTTCATACTTCAGTCTTTGGTTATCTGCTTGCAAATCTCTGTTCCTCTGCTCAGCCTGCACCAGCTGTGCCTCCAACTCAGCTTCTAGTTCTCTGCTACCCTCCTGAAACTCAGCCAGCTCTTCACGAGCTTCCTGGAAGCTGTAAGGAGAGGATTTTGTCAGCTGAAAATCCAGCATCTCCCAAGTTAAAACTAAATCCACAGCTCTTAAAATAATAAGCTGAAACAACCCAAGTTTTAAAGTACTTAAGTGCCATCCATAGACCTCCAAGGAGAAAAAGAAAAACAAGGAAACAAAGAAATGACATTAAGCTTAGCTATAAATGGAAATTAGTTCTCCTACATCAAACAAACAGTGGCACTAAATGCATGTGTGAATACAAACTGGTATCAAAGCTATTCACGGGATTCACAGGAATCTGACAAACACTTTGTGCTCCATTAGATTTCACTGCTAGGAGATATAGAGTCAATGAATTAAACAAACGTTTAACCTACTTTTGGTCAAAACCTGTAAGAGAGAACAACAGTTTCCAGGTCTTTGCACTATCTGAAAATTTCAGGTTCTTGAGGAGCATGCAGGTTTGAATCCTGGGGTTACTGAGCCCTGGGGCAGGAAGCCAACACACACCTACCTTCTACCAGTGAAGTTATTAAACTCTAGAAGTAGCCACTCCACATACTTTTGTAACTAAATTTGCACCTTTACCCCATGTAATAGCTCAGCTCTTTGCAAGCCACAGAGAAAACTAAGGAGGTTTTAGGACACAACATATCCATTGGTGTCCAAGACAGAATTTTCTGACACCCAAGAAGGGCTTAGGGTTCTCCACAAAGGGAAAAAAAGAATCCAAACCAAAAAGTAAGTTGCACCTTGGGCTCTTTGGGCTTGAGAGAGCTGCACATGAGTAGCACTGAATGCAAACAGAGCTTTCCAAAGAAAAATGGGAGTCTCCAATGCCCACCACTCAAAAACAAACAAGCAAACACACCCTACCCCCACAAGAAGCCCAGCATTGCTCAACCTCTCTTGTCATTTTTGGTAATCCGCAGCTCCTTAAAGATGCAGACCACTGGGACAGGCTGGACTAAATACAACACACTTCAATAAATTGCAGCAGATGCCAAATCAGCAACTTCTCATACCAGTAGTTCAGATACAAGAAGTTTGAGGGAATACTAATGATACAAGGCAAGCCCAAAGGCACCTTCGTATGATAAAACGTCAAGACTCTACTTAAGGCAGCACTTCAATTATACAAGGAGGCACATGATCTCAGAAGGGCTCTGTTCTTGCTCAAACATGCTCGAAACATAGCCTGGAGTTCATGGTAACACCCTCTAAGAACACTCAGCTCCCTCTGAGCTCTGATTTCCCAAGGCTGGAAGTCTCAAAGATCCATATAAAGATGGACATGCAGAGATTCTTTCTAAAGAAACAAACAAACAAAAAAAACTAACTCTCATCTTGCAGAGGAATAGACTAAACAATGTTCTGGTCAGGAAGAACCAAATCCAGCCTAGTAGTCTACAACAGTACCTTTGTTTGTACTTCAGGGAAAGCTCTTTCCAATACTCAGTTTCCTCCTTTGGACTCGAAAAAGTTGGGATTTCTTCACTGTCCATGATCAACAAGACCTGCAGGACAAAAACACAAGAACACACTCAGGATAAAGACAGGCAGATCTCCCTCAAAACTGCTGCTAAGCCCTGAGCTCCTCCACTGCAGCCTTTCCAACAGCAGCACCCAAACCCAGCCCCCAACAGTGGGATGGGAACAATCCCAGGCATGCACCATTGGGCCCCAGACCCGCCACGTCATCTCCTCCACCTTCTGGCAAGGTGCGGCAGCCTGGAAGGAGACCAGAAACCCCAGCTCTGCTTTGTACCTGCCACTGAAAGAGGAGGCGATGCCTCGAGCCCGCCTGGGACCCGGGCGGGTGAGGATGTTCCAGTTTACAGCTTCTGTTTGAAAAACCTTCCAAAGGGGGTTTTGCCGCCTGCCGCCAGCGCAGCGACACCAACTCCATCGATTCGAGCTGCCCAGGCAGGCACTGAACAAGGACAAACACCCCGAGGTCACCCACTCGCACGCTGTGCTGCAGGGATTAAACTTCTACCGATTCCTGCCACAGCCCAGCCTCCTGCCAAACTGCTGGGGAACGCAGCACCCCACAGGCCAGGGGGCCAGGGGCATACGGAGGCCTCGACACACACCAGAGCTCAGGTGACGGAGAACAGCTGAGAGCTGGGGGTGTCCAGCCTGCAGAGGAGAAGGCTCCAGCCAGGGACTTCAGGACTTGTCAGAAAGCTGGGGAGAGACCTCTTAGCACAGTCTGTTGTAACAGGACAAGGGGGGGATGGTTTGAAACTAAAAGGGGGAGATGTAGACTAGATAGAAGGAAGAAATTTTTGGCACTGAGGGTGGTGAGCCCCTGGCCCAGGCTGCCCAGAGAGGTGGTCGCTGCCCCATCCCTGGAACCATTCCAGGGGAGGCTGGCCGGGGCTCTGAGCAACCTGCTCTGGTTGCAGATGTCCCTGCTCCCTGCAGGGGGGTTGGACTAGATGGGCTTTAAAGGTCTCTTCCCACCCAAACCAGTCTGGGACTCTGCAAACAGTAGCCATGGTCCTGCCATGCCCAGCAGGACCAGGAGAAGTAACCACGGGAAGGAGATGCACCATGCTGTGCACCATTTCTGAGCTCTCCCTGAGCAACCTCACAACCCTTTTAAGGGTAGGCATAAATTTTTCTCCCCAAAAGCCAAGACTCAAATTCTGTTACTAACACCCAGAAAAGAATAAGCTGAAACCAACCTCTTCTCTGTTTAAAGCTGAGACTCTGAACGTCACTCACACCATGCTCGTCAGCCAGTCACAGTGACCTAGGAGTCCTGACTTTCACACTCTAATGGGCACCAGTCACCAGCACTGTCCCTTCAGGCCTCAAATTGTCACGCTAATGTGTCCTGCATCTCAGTGACCCACATTTTAGACACCTAAAAGTGGGACAAAACATTCCCCTGCTTTCGTTAGGGGTGAGACAGTCTCATTTCAGAGGCTGGCACTTAGCTCACAAATAAAGCCAGGCAGAACCAGCACATTTGGTCTTCAGCTGAGTCTGCAGCTGCCACAATCCAGGAGCACGAGATCAGATTTACCCAGAGGGTGCTGAGCACCTCAAAACCACCATGGCTCTCACACTGTGTGTGTTTAAATTCACAGCTTTATTGCAGGAGCAGTAACATTCAGGTGGCCAGGACGAGGTTCAGGGCTCGGCCACCGCTGTCACATCAGCCCTGTGCTGCCCTCACTGAACCCACCTCGGCCAAGCCTTCTGAGCTGCCCTGCTGAGGCGCCCGGCTCTATGCCGGCACTCTCCGAGAGGCTCCTATCAGCAAGAAGCACGTTTCCCCCCAAATAAACAAGTATGCACAGAACAGGGTCGGCTCCCACAGCTCCATAGGAGCTATCTCGAAAGGTAAACAGCCAGGAAGCCACCCAGTCAGCAAAATTCAGGATGTGTTTATGGAAACAAGGAAGCCTCTTACATCACTTCCTAGAAGTAGCTGAGATAAGCTCTTCTGAGGGCTTCTTCCTGTCAGCTCAGCTCGCAGGGCCCACCCTGGGACGCACACCCCCGAGGAACCTCTGCAACCAGCAGGGAAGCAGGAAGGGCT